GAGCGGTGAATGATTCTCTTAGCAATCTTACAGAGGAAAACAACATAAAAGAACAGCAAAGGCTAGTAAGAGAAAGCCACTGATGTGCAGAACTCTTATCTTCGGAAAGGATAAAATGTCTATATAAGTATTAAGGCTATTAAGTAGATTTGCATCTTTACAGACTAAACCAAAGTTGTATAGCATTAGCTTTTGTAAGCAGGGTGCTTACTTCATCAGAAGAGTTACACTTCGGTGGCATACAAATTCAAAGGGATGTTTTTTCCCTGTAGGCTCATAAGTATTTCCCAACATAGCAGAGTATTGTTTCTAAGTTATGCATCAAACTAGATGGGCAGGTATTATAGACTGGATGACTCATTTTCCTATGACAGTAATCATCCCTACATTTTTAATGATAAACACTATGTCATTTAGTTCCCAAATCAAATGGTATTGACTGTCACATTATTTCTGAGTTAGGCTCCTCCTAGTTTTCTTAGAAGATTGTTAGTCAGACAAGCTTAGCTAGCTACCCTTCAACCATGTGCTGATCTGTGCTACGCATTGGGAGAACTGGGAAACAGTGGGTGCATCTTAACGTGAGCTTTAATGCACATTAGCCTATTTAAATGCACATTAAAGCATCACAAAAAACCTGTGGGCTTTCGCTAATGTGCGTTAGCATTGAACAGAGAACAGGGAGTGCCATTTCCATGACTGTTTGAAGGTAAGGCAGGAATATTTGGTGATCAGTGATATCAAGTGCTATAGAAGAGTTTATCAAAGATTACAAATAGTGTACCAGGGGATACAGGTGTGAACCCTTTCAGGAGATGGACACTGAACTGAGGTATCCCATTTCCTGTGCAAGTACTCTAGCCACCATGCTATTATATAAGTAGCAGGTGGTGGCACTCCTCTTTAAAACTGGAAAGGAAACAGCTAGTTAGGAACATGCAGAAATTGTTACAATTTAAATTATACCCTATGCCTGCCATCACATAGCAGAGGTTAATTGATGCACAGAACTGTGCGCTTGGTGTTCATCTGTTTTAATTTCCAAGGTCAGAGTTTTTGCCAGACCAGACATTTTAGTCACTTTATTTTCTCTCAATTTACAAGAGAATTGAAACAATTAAAATATACACATTAATATATTTCACCCTTTAAGCAAGTTTTTCTTGTGAAGTTAAGAACAGATGTATAGGAGGATGACTTTTGTATCTTGAGCAGCTATTTATTAATAAGAGAGGTAAGGACTTTTGTGGGTGATATCCTTACTATACTGACATGTGGGTGATATCCTTTACTATACTGACTGCATGGTTGGGATAGGCTTAAACATCACCCACAAAAATCCTTGCCTCTCACAATTCCTGGACCATCATGGCTACAATATCACTCCATAATAACTCATTTGAGATGCTACTGCAACTTCAACAGTAAAACTTGAATCCTTTGAAGAATTAAAGAGACAATTTAAATGGCAGGAAACCAGGCTCTTTAAGAATACTGTACTTCAGTGGATATAACTTTAAATTACTAATAAATAATATAATTGAATCTGCCTGTAAGAGCCAAAGTCTTTGAGATGGTTTGAATTAGAAATATAGGGATTACATTGGTAGATTTGTTAGTTGGTTAACCAGGGAACTTTATGGTACAACTCAGGCTCTGCTGGACACACATCCTAACCTTTCTGATTTATTTATTAGTACTTTGGGCAAATGAATATAATAATAAAATGTGAGAAAATATTTCCCTATAAATATTTCCCTATGTATGTCCCTGCCAACTTGGCGAGGTCATAAGTTAACATGCACAAGCTTTTTTTATCCAGGAGAACTAGAATCCTTCCTAATAGTTGTTGGAGAGTCTGTAGAAAGATACCATGGTTGAAATCCTCATACCTGAAGTCATTGGAAAAATTTAATTGATTTCAGGAGGGTTAAGATTTTTCCTAATAAATTTTAGTTTTCCCAACTCATTTAATAGAACTCCATGAACTAAATATTGTCACTTTAATCTGTATACAGTAATAATGTCTGTGTGTTATATGCATGTTATACACACAATGTAATAGTCTTACACATGAAACATTATGTATACATACTTCATATAAATAATAAATGTTAATATTTAATAATAATGTAGTGAATATATGTACATTTCATACATTAATTGTACTATATATTTCATCTAATACAATA